AAACAACATTTCCGATGTTTTACAATGTGCTTGCTCTGCTGGTTTGTCCATTGATGCTATCCACCTATTAATGCACCTATTTTTATCATCACATGATCTCATCACGCCATTTTTAATGCGTATCCTGGAATTTAAAAGTGAGGGCGCCCATTTGTGATGATCTCTCCCTCATTAGCATATGACGTTAGTCTTGTTTTTGAATCTGCCACTATGCTGACACACGGGCATTTCTAGCACCGCCACTTCTGAAAAGAGCACGATGTCATTTGAATTTAAAGCAACAGTCACCAAAACTCCACAATTAGGATCAAAGCCTAAAAGGGTCAGTTTCCAGGAGTTATGAAACATTATTTCTGTGGTGTTTTGAGCTGAAACTTCACACTAGGGACATCAGAGACTTATTTTACATCTTTTGAAAATGGGCATAATAGGTCTTCTTAAGATGCTCTCATAATCCGTCACAAACATCTCCTTTTCCCCATAATATCTCTCATGTCTTCGGGTCTGTTTTGTCCCTCCATTGGCCATGATTTCTTCATGCAAATGTCTCAAATGTTGTGGCGTTTTCATGGATCATTCACGCTGATCTTCTTTTAAAACAGCTCATGCTGAGATCTTTATAGAAGTGCTTTTATCCAGCGCTGTCATAAGCCACAAACACTCAATATATATTCAGCTCAATATTGAAATCCTTTTCTCTAGCTCCTTCTACCATGTTTACACCTCTGCTGGAGCTGTAATGTGCTGGAGATTTGAGTTTAGAGTTTTCTTTGTAATTGTTTGGTAATTTAATGCAGCAATAGCTTGAGGAACTGTGGAGAAAGGGGATTACTTAGGATTAAGAGTTTATTAACTGTAAAAAGCAAACACTTATATGCACTTTTGTTCTCAGAGGACGGCTTTGCATCCTTTGCCCTGATATTATTATGAGCTATTAGAAGTTATGATAAAGTGACGAACACAAGGCACCGCATTTATTGCAATATTGAAACATTATTAAAAGGGTTTTAACTTTATTTTATTTGTCTAATTAAAAACTTCTGCAGGTAAACATATTTTCTAATGCTCTTAAATTTTTTTTTTAGGAAACATTTTGTGAAATGTGTATATATTTATTTATTTACACTACCGGTCAAAGGTTTATGGTCAGTGGGATTTTTAAATGTTTTAAAATAAGCTTCTCCTGCTCACCAAGCCTGCATTTATTCCATCTAAAATACTGTAGAAATTGTAAAATTGAGAAATGTTATTGCCCTACAAAATAACAGTTCAAAAGTAGTTTATAATTTAATTTAATAAGTTATTCCAGCAATTTTCATGATGGACTTTCAGCGTCATTACTCCACTCTTCAGAGTATTATTACTATTATTATTATTATTATTAATTATAATAATAATAAAAGCAATAATAACTGAAGTAGTTTTATTTAAGCTATATACAATAAGTATTAAATAAATATTTAATAAGTATTTAACAATTTAACTTTTTTATATTTGATAAATGCCGCCTTGATAAACAGAATAATTTTCTTTAAAAAATCATTAAAAAAAAACAGACTTTTGAAGGTAGTATATATTTATTTGTTTATTTATTAATTTATTCATTTTCTAATGCTTTTAATTTTTTCTAGGAAAAATTATTAACCCTCTGTGAAATGTATGTATATTTATTTATTTATTTGTTATTTTATTCATGTATATATTTATTTGTTTTTATAGATTATATATTAGCCATCTTGTTAAATTTTACAGGAGGGCTAATACACCCCCCCCCCCCCCCCCCAAAAAAAAAACCCACACAAAATATAAATATAAATAAATAAATAAACATAAAAAATTCACAAGAATTTGTATATTTTTTATTCTTACAAAAACAAACAAATAAACAAACAAATAAACAACAAAAAAACCTTAAATAAATAAAGTACATAAATAAAAAATAATAATATTAAAATAAATAAAACATTATTTCTGTATGTAAATAAAAAAAAATAGTAGACTGCATTTTCTTGTAAAATATAACCCTTATGTATCATTTTGTACTGTAGTGTAACTCTTTATTATATTACTGAGTGATGGTGCTGTTCATTGTGCTTCAATTAATCAGCTGAAAATACAGTGTGTTCATCCCGCAATAAACAAAGAATTGTTGCTGATTTGATATGAGATCATTACTTTATACTCAAAAAATGCCTGTTTTTTTTTCTTTTTTCCCAGAAAGCAATATTTGTTTATTTTTAAAGTGTTATGCAATAAAAGAGGAGTTATTTTTCCTGCTTTTATGTATCTGGGCCTCTCGGGTGTTGTTTTATTTGCGTAGCCTTTCCTCATGAAGTATTCATGAGGCACGACTGCTATACTTGATGAAAGTTTGCTTTGCATTACGGTTAACCTTTTTAGGTGAGCAAACCGTGCAAGAGTTCACTTTTACTGTCTTAAACAGTGTGTCAGGCTTTGTGTTTAAAAAAATGATTTAAAACTAAATTAAAGTAAAAACTAACTAACTAAATATATAAATAAAAAGCTGAAAATCGATTTTAAAATATTAACAAAAACTGCAAACTGCTTAATAAAGCTACTTTATACTATAAAGACATATTACCAAAAAAAGACAGAACTACAACATTATAGTAAACTATAATGACATAAAAACAAAATAAAATACATTAATTGCAATTAAAAATATTAACAAGCTAAACTATTATCTCAATCAATTAATTATACAATTAAATACAAAAAAACAAAGCTTAAATTCAAGTAAGGTAAAAATAAATAAACAAACAAACAAACAAGTAAATACACAAATAAATAAATAAATAAATAAAGTAATTAATTAATTAATTAGTAAAAGTAAAAAGTAGTTAAATTGCAACTAAAATTGAAATACAGAAATCTTAATCCTAAACTCAAATGAATAGAAAAAATTAAATATATATATATATAAAAAAAAAAAAAAAAAAAAAAAAAAAAAATATATATATATATATATATATATATATATATATATAATAAAATAAAAAAATAAACATATAAAATAAAAATAAATTAATAAATTATGTAATAAAAGAAAACATTTTTTTCATAATTTTTTATATTACAATTAATAATATGAAAGAAAATTAAGTATTAACGCAATCAACTGACTAACTGACTAACGCATTTAAAAACAAAAAACATAATCTAAAATTTAAGTGTACAGAAAATAAATAAATAAAATAAATAAACAATACAGTAAAAATAAAAAATAGATAATAAAATAAATTTAGATGCATACATACATTATAAAAGAAAAAAGAAAATAAATACATAATAAAAAATAAAACAAGTAAATAAATAAATAAATAAGTAAATTAATTAATTAATCAATAAAAATATATAAAAATAATTAAATTATAATTAGAAAATATGAACAAACTCATTCAATTACCTATGCAATTAAATAAAATAAAATAAAATCCTAAACTCAAGTGTACGGAAAAAAAAAAATAAATAATTAAAGTGCAGTTGAAAATATGAACAAGTTAAACTATTACCTTAAAAAATTTCTAGTACAATTAAATACATAAAACTAAATCCTGAACGCAAGTGCAAAGTGTTACTTTTAGTGAACAGGAGGTTGGTGTGCCGCTGAGATTTATGGATTTATTTAATATAGTCAGTGTGGCATGAAGTTTTGACAGACAGGATGATTGTATATAGAAGAGGTTAAAGATGCTCTGGGCTCAATCTTTCTCAAGTGTTTTATCACTCAAGTGTTTAAGATGCACCTCACGTTCAGCTACACAAACACTCTTCAATCCAAACATCCCCGATGGCAAAACACAACACAATCACCTGCACTGAGCTCTTTAAGACATAAATAAAGAAACATTTAAACTGAGAGAGCATCAGAGAAACCTGTGTGTGAAGGACAATCATGATGCTCCATAAAAAGAGCTGTAAAATACTTCATTCTACATCATTGATTTACTTAGGGCTAGACACTGGATAAAAGTTAACCAACAGATATTTTGTCTCTCCTGATTTTATATTTTAAATTACTTTCAGCTCAATTTGTGTGTTCACACTTGGAAATTCATTCATTCGTTCGTTCATTCATTCATTCATTCATTCATTCATTCATTCATTCATTCATTCATTCATTCATTCATTCATTCATTCATTCATTTTCTTTTCGACTCAGTCCCTTTATTAATCTGGGGTAGCCACAGCAGAATGAGCCACAAACTTATCCAGCATATGTTTTAAGCAGTGTATACAAAAATAAATAAATAAGAAAAAAAAAAACAAAAAAAAAACAAAATAAAAAACAAAATAAAACACAAAGTAAAGTGAAGTAGTATAATATTAGTATATAATATTATATGAAGTATAATATAATATTATATGAAGTATATAAATTAAATTAAATTAAATTAAATTAAATTTTAAGAGAGTGTCTGGTTCAAAACTGGTGCAAGTGTCTCTTAAAGTGCAGAGAGATGAAAGAGTGCGTTTTCTACAGGTGGTTTGTCAGGCCCACTCACCTGTCTGAGGCACACTCAGAAATATGCAGTGTTTTTTATAGTGATATGGAGGGATTTTAAGAAAATGTCCGATACGAATGTGCAAAACTGGAGTGAGTGTCTGTTAAAGTGTCAGAGAGATGAAAGAGTGTTTTATACAGGTGGTTTGTCAAACCCACTCACCTGCCTGAGGCATACTCAGAAATGCTCAATGTTTAGAGGTTTATATGAGGTGTGGTGGGGAGGAAAAAGGGGGTCCTGATGTTTGGGAGCTTGGGTTGTGGATAATATTTCAGAGAGGGGGGTAAGATGATTGAAGTTGAGGGGTTTAACAGCTTGTGGAAAGAAACTGTTGAGTAGTCTACCCTACTAAATAAATGCATTGTTGCATGCAATACTCAGCAAAATGACGACATGCCAACACTACATCCCACAATTAATTTCCTTCTTCCCCCCACTGTGATTTCTGACAAGCATTTCTTCTTTCGTCTGCAGATTCCTCAGATCAGCTACGCATCCACCGCTCCGGAGCTCAGCGATAACACCCGCTACGACTTCTTTTCACGCGTCGTTCCACCGGATTCATACCAGGCGCAGGCCATGCTGGATATAGTGACGGCGATGGGCTGGAACTACGTCTCCACACTGGCTTCTGAAGGAAACTATGGGGAAAGTGGTGTGGAAGCGTTTGTGCAGATCTCCAGAGAAATGGGTAGGGCTGCTTTTTTATTAATGGCTTGAGGCATTGATGCTTTTAAACCAATCACACACTTCAAGAAACAAGTGCTGTTTTTAGATACTAAACCAGTATTGGGTACTTTATGGAGTGCGTGAGAATCAACTTGAATGATTTTTGCTCTAATTTGCAGTCTGGAAGAGTTGCTGATAATGGTTGAGCATGGTTTTTGTGTTTCATTAAAATGTATTAGTTATTAGTGGCACCGGTGGCCATTCAGGGAATAGATTTTTTTTTTGCATTCGCATTTGTGCACTCGTAAGTTAAAATAAAATGAAAACTTGTAAGTTAAAATAGACTGTATGTGATTAAATACATAACATACTCATAGAGAATATTTTAAGATTTCTTTCAACTTTATTGGAATTGTTATTAGCGACACCCGTGGCCATTCAGAGAATTGCAATTGTTTGTATTTTTTGACGTTTTCCCATTCATGCAGGTGTAATGTAAAATCGACTGCATGTGATTTAAATTACATGACCTACTTATGGAGAATATTTCAAGATTTCATTCAACTTTACTGGTTATTAGTGACACCGGTGGCCATTCAGGGAATTGCTTTTTTGTGGCGAATTTGCATTCATGCCCTTAACGTAAAATAGATTGTATGGTATTAAATTATATGACAGATTTCATTGAAGTTAATTGCAATTGTTATTAGCAACACCGGTGGCCATTCAGGGGATTGCATTTTTTAATTTTTTTTTGCTGAGTATTTGCATTTGTGCACTCTTTTAAACTTAAAACAGACTGTATGGGATTAAATTACATGACATACTCATAGAGAATATTTCGAGATTTCTTTTATTTTTATTGGAATTGTTATTAGCGACACCCATGGCCATTCAGGGAATTGCATTTATTTAAATTTTTTGGCGTATTCGCATTTATGCAGGTGTAATGTAAAATAGACTGCACGTGATTAAATTACATGACATATTCATGAAGAATATTTCAAGATTTCATTTAACTTTATTGGCTATTAGTGACACCGGTGGCCATTCAGGGAATTGCATTTTTTTATTGCAAATTTGCATTTGTGCGCTCTTTTAACGTAAAATAGACAGTATAGGATGAAACTAATTGACACACTGATGGAGAATATATTAAGATTTAATTCAAGTTAATTGGAATTGTTATTAGCAACACCGGTGGCCATTCAGGGAATTGCATTTTCATTTTTTTTCATGTATTCGCATCTGTGAAGTCGTTACATCTGACTGTATGTGATTAAATTACATGACATACTGATGGAGAATATTTCAAAATTTCATTCAAATTTATTGGTTATTAGTGACACTGGTGGCCATTTGTGTAGTTTACATTTCTGCACTCGTAACATAACAGACTGTATGGGATTGAATTACATGACATACTCATAGAGAATATTTCAAAATTTCATTCAATTGTTTGTAGCAACACCAGTGGCCACTCACAGTATTGCATTTATTTTTATAATTTGGTGTGTATTCGCGTTTGTGTAGTCGTAACGTAATGTAGACCTCATGTGATCAAATTACAGGACATCCTCATGGAGAATATTTCATTTAAATTTGTTGGAATTGTAATTAGTGACACCGGTGGTCATTCAGGGAATTGCATTTGATTATTTTGCATGTAGTCTGTATGTGATTAAATTACATGACATAATCATAGAGAATATTTAAAAATATAGGGAATTGCATTTTTTTGTAATGTAAAATAGACTGTATGGGAGTAAATTACATCACATACTCATGAAGAAGATCTGTTTAGTTTGACTAGAAGTACTAGGAAGTTGAAAGAAAAACCTTTGCATTGATAAACTAATAACAAACATCCAGACATCATTCAAATTGAGAGCAGTGTTTAAATGAATATATGTGTTATGCTCTTGCTTTTCAGTGAACATAAGATACAGAAAACAGTTCAAAAGGAATCTGATCAGCGTGATTCGAATATGTCGAACAGATGAGCTCATTAAAACCACAGTTAGGATTGTTTGATTATAAAGTATATTTAAGGCTCTCATGAGTGTAAGCATTACATCCTTCTGATTTTTTTTTCAGCAAAACAAGCGTGAGACCTTCACATAAAAATCTGCCTATAGGCTTTCTAGACAATCTAGGAGTCTGAGGAATCTCATAAGTTTAGCTGTTCACACAGGCAATAAATAGCGATTAATGCATGAAAATGATTAATTAATTCCCTTTAATATTGTTTTCAGAATGCCAGCACAGAAACACCATTCATGAAATGCTCAGAAAACATTCAAAAGTAATTCTCATCAAAATGAATAAAAGGAATGTTTCATTAACATTGACATAGCTAAGATTCTAAATATTAAAAAGATTTTAAAAAACTCACTAAAAACATTTTAAAAGGACTAAAAATTCATAACGACTGACTGTATGTGATTAAATTACATGACATACTGATGGTGAATATTTCAAGATTTCATTCAAATTTATTGGTTATTAGTGACACTGGTGGCCATTTGTGGAGTTGCATTTCTTTAGCATGTATTCACATTCCTGCACTCATAACGTAACTTAAGACTGTATGAGATTAAATTACATGACATACTCATAGAGAATATGTCAAAATTTCATTTAACTGTTAGTCGCAACACCAGTGGCCATTCTCAGTATTGCATTTATTTTTATAATTCGGCGTGTATTCGCGATTGTGTAGTTGTAAAGTAATGTAGACCGTAATGTGGTCATTCAGGGAATTGCATTTGATTAATGCATGAAAATTATTTATTTATCCCCTTTAATATTGTTTTCAGAATGCCAGCACAGAAACACCATTCATGAAATGCTCAGAAAACATTCAAAAGTAATTCTCATCAAAATGAATAAATGGAATGTTTCATTAACATTGACATAGCTAAGATTCTAAATATTAAAAAGATTTTAAAAAAACTCACAAAAAACATTTTAAAAGGACTAAACAGTTGATTTGAATACAGGAGTGAATTCCCTAAATTATTGTTTCCTGTCTCGATTCCTGGTGCAACAATTAACGTGGTAAACAACAACATTCTTGTATGGTTTTATATAGGTTTTTTCTCCTCAAAGTAATGTGGGAATGTAAGTTATCATATGCATTTGTTTAAATGGCAGAACATGTCTTTGGGTGCACTCACACTATGCTATTCAAAATGTGCCCAGGCAAGTTTCCGGGTTAGTTTGACAAGTGTGAGTGCTCCAAATCGGGCCGAGGTACAGTTCAGTTGGACGGTTCTGGTTCGGTTGGAAGAGATGTGCCAGAGCGCGCGTCAGCTCACTCACTGCACGTCATTCATTCTATCGGTCATCGGCACGGTTCAAGGCAACTGTAGCTAGTGTGAGTGTGCCGTTTTTTTGTCAAGCCCACTCACCTGTGCGAGTGTTAATGAGTCAAGATGTATCATGTGATTTCTTGTACTATAGAATAAATAAAGATAAGTGTGTGATTTGAATAGATCTGAAAGCACGCGCCGGAGATTTACTGCTAATCACAAACACTTGGTCGGCTTTTTCTGGCGAAATGTGCATGGCAATCACCTCAGTCTAATGGTACAGCCCTGAATTGATTGAGTTGTTTTGTTTATGATGCATTATTTTCAAACTCTCCCCAAAGTCAGCAAGTGAATATTGGTGTTGCATTATAAGCATGTTCCGATTTTAAAAGTCGTGCATTGTGTTCCAGCCTCGGTTAAGCAGGGGAAGCACATTATTATTCTTATCTTGCTCATTCTTATCTGCTCAACGTGTGCAGGAGTTGAATCCGTTTAATTAATTCTCAGTTGTTAAACTCAGGATGAGCGAGGATTATGCTGGTTTTCGTAGTGTAGTGTTTCTGAACCACCGGGTACCCTGGTGGCTCTCTGCTCTTTCACGTATTGACCGGAATGCCATGGATGTTTTGTTGGTGCTCGGGACAAGGAGTGTTCTGCTGTTTTCTGTCCGTTCAGTGGATGTTGACATTGCTCACAGAGGGCAAAGGCGATGTAGACTGACCACTGGGACACAAGTGTTTGTTGTCCACGCAGCATTGAGAGAATTAGCAGAGTCTTGCAGAAAAACCAGTGGAGTGAAACACAATCTTGACTTTAGCAATTGCTCTACTTTGGCTTGTGGTTTTTCAGCGCAAAAGTACACCTTATTTCCTTTTTTCTGTTAAAAACTTTGACCTGAGAGCAATGATAGCTAATCGCATTAAATATATCAACTGTTTAAACCAAACAAACTAATTCCCCAGCAGAAAACACATTGTTTATGTTCATACTATTATTACATCTATATTATACATTTGTAGAATGTCCCAAAGCCTTCTGACCAATCAGACCAAACTGGGCCAGTTGATCAATCAGGGCAAACTGACCAATTACAGTAGATTGAATCATCTGGCCAATCACCAAAGACTGAGCCAGAAGAAAATCACTGCAGATTGAGCCAACTGACCAATTACAGCAGACTTAGGCTAGCTGAACAGTAAGTTCAGACTAAGCCTACTAATGATTGACAACAGACTGGATGAGCAGACTAGTAATAGCAGAACGGCTGAATCAACTGACGAATCACAGCAGCCTGAGCCAGCTGACCAATCAGTGCAGAGTATGTCAAACTGACTAATTAGAGCAGAGTGAACTATCTGACAAATCACAATAGACTATGCAAACCTGACTAATCACAGCAGGCTCTGGCCATCTGAGCATTCAGAGCAGACTGAGCCAGATGACCAATCACAACGGATTGGGATATATGACCATTCAGAGGAAACTGAGGCCCTATGTCCAATCAGAACAAAGTACACTAACCTGACCAATCACAACAGACTAAGGCTATCTGACCAAGTTAGTTAATCATCAATTAACATTGAGCCGTCTGACCAATGACAAAATGCTGAATGAGCTGACCAATTATTACACTAAATTGAATCATCTGGCCAATCACAACATGCGTATCTACCTGACCAGCAGATCAGAGCAGACTACATCAAACTAA